CCGGAACCCCCGGGAGCCCAGCGCAGCTCCCAGGCCTGGGCAGGCAGCAGGTCCCGGGCTGAGTGGCCCCTAGGACTCGCCTCCTTGCCGGGGGCCGGATTGTATTTATTAAGTATTATGGGTCCATGGTTCACGCAGTTTTTAGGCATCTCCGTTTAGGATTTTTTTATTTTAATTTCTTTTAAAGGCACAAAAGTATAGCTCTTAGTTGAATGTTGACAGGTATGCTTTAACCTTTCCTGTGTCTTTCTACAGCTGTGTTCTGTGACTCACTTGTATAGTGGTAATATCCGTACCAACTTGTCTACTCTAGCTGACCGTATAAATAATGTTTTCCCTCCTTGTAGTCTCTATGGCGTGTCTTTATGGAGAAAGATGGTTCTCACGGGTTCAGTTCCTTTGCATTTCCAGAAACCAGAGTCAGATGATGGTATATATTTTTATTATCAGTTGCATGTCGTCTTTTATTTTTCCCTTCCTGTTGGAATATGTTGGTGAGCATAATAGTCATAAATTATGTTCAGGGTTTTCAAATTTATTTATATGTGGTTCAAATGAATGCTATTTAAAAGGGGAAATATTTCTACATGTGCATATAGTTTTCCAAAAGTGTACCATTAACTGATTGTTGATAATAAAAACAAAAAACAAATATAGCACTGCAATTCTTTCAGCTTAATTTATTTCTCAGAGTCTAACAAGATATAAAACAAGAGAATGAGGAAGTGAATCACAGAGGAGGCTAGTTTGAGTGATCAAACTGTTGCAATATGTAAGAACATGGGATGTGAGCAGTGATATTTGTTATCTTAATATTAAACATTGATAAAACAGGGGAAAACCATCCCTACTGGATAACTTATAATTGTTAAATAATTGAAACACTGTAGCTAGTAGAGGGCTCAGGTCCTTGCACTACAGAAAACTTCCTCCCTGACCTGTAAGAGGTCTCAAATGTAGTAGCTGGTTGGGAAAAACTGCCATTCAGTACTTGCCTTCAAGAGGATAGGGCATAAGCAATTTACCAACTTTCTGTATGCTCAATACACTCAAACATTTGGCTCCTCAACCCATGAAAAACATGCTTTAAAATGTCGGTTGCATTTCTGAAATGACCTGTTAGTCTATAATCTTCACAATCGGCTGTATATAGGGGAAGGGGAGACAGGAGGAAGGTCATCAAGGAAGTAAGTCATCGAGTCACTAACTTGTTGACTTTTCAGACCAGAAAAGAATATTCTTACCTGTGAGAGTAGGCAACAATTCTATAAACGCTAGAAGTCGTCACCCCAGAATGTCACATCATAGGTGCTGGAATTATGGATGCTGAGTATAGCTGGCTTGACTTCCATTATATAGAGCATTTACAGTTTGGTTAAAGGGCTCTTAATGCCTCCGCATCACCTATAGTAAAAGGGTCTAATCCTGTCCCACTTACTCACCAGTAAAGCTGTCCTGAAATCAATGAGACCCTGGTGTGTGTAGAAGCAGTAGGGCTGGACTCACTAATGGCCAGATCTACATTTGCATTTATCAAGAAACTGGCTTCCATTAAACATGCAGGAAGGAACAGGGCATTCTCTTTTATTCACCCAGTTTCAGCAACTAGGGCTTGCTGAGCTTCTGCTTTTCTAACCACAGAGACAAGCATTAAACATCTGACTCTAAAGTGCGCTGAACCATCCCAGCTCTGCTCTCTCAGGAGTTTGAAAAGGCTGTATTTTGGATTAAATATTTATACTTTTAATCATACAGCATCCCTTCCCCTCCTTATAGTGATAGTCTTTACTCAACAATTCAGAGTCAAACCAGCGTCCACCTACTTACATGTTCCAGGACAGGCTCATTCCTCACAGAGTGTAGCATGGTTTCCCTTGGAGAGGTTTTTCCTTTAGGGCAACTATACAAATGAGGATTGAAGTGCCTCAGTAATCCCGTCCAAGAATGAATAGGATAATCATGTTGGATTGAAATGCCAGGACTGTCGACACTCAATTCCTGTTTAAATGCAGCTTTAAGAGGGTGGTACATGTGGAAAATTGACAGAACTTCATATTGAAAGAATTCCATATCCAGGTGACAGCTACCTGAAAGTGTCCCTTAGGCTAAAGCACTCATGGGGTGAGGAATGAGGCACTCTTTGCTGATGAGAATACCAAAATCATATCTACTGCATAGCACATGATCATTGAACAAGGAATTTCAGTCAGTGTATTGAGAATACAGCCTATGTATGAGTTGGGGCTGACAGGCTCCTTTGTTCTTACATAGCCAGGTTTGTTTAGGTCTCTTTTATTTGTCACTGTAAAACACTGTTGTGCTTAAAGTTTAAAGCCAATTTGAAAGTTATTTTAGCTAATACCTGCAGAGTAACTTAACTTGAATGTTAGTACTTCCCCTTTAATCTACCTGAAGAGAGAGGAGGGAAAAGAGTAAAACCCCCTCAATTTTGGGTATGGACCCAATAAAATAATTCATATTTTGGTTTGTTAAGAAGTCATTTGTTTGTAGCCTTAATGATAAATGTTGCACTACAAAGGCACTGTCAGCTGGTGGCAAAAAAGCACTAGTTAACTGAATCTTCAATGTGGTGGAAAGCCAGAAATAGAATGAACAGAAATGTCACCAGATGAAATAGTAAACTGACTAGGACAAGATTTCCTGGGCTCCCCTCAAGCTTGTGAAATTCTTGATAAGGAATTTCACTTAACTGAATAGGATAGCCTATCAAATATACTTTCAGGGCAATTAGACATAAAGGTTATTGTAGACTTGCCCCAACACCACTAAAATCAACATAAAGACCTCCATTGACTTTGACGGGGGCTGGATCAGGCCATATGTGCATACTCTCCTATAGCCGTGCCAAGATATTTGAGAAGAGGATGTTAGAACCAAAACTCTAAAAGAGATAGAAGACCACCTTCCAAAAGAGTAAATCTGAAGAGCTGCAATAGGAAGGTGCATTAGATGTTTTACCATCTTCAAGCAATAAATATTCTCATGTAAATCAGCCTGTTCATTTTGAAATTGTTATACATCCACTTTTTTTCTTCTTTCATATACTTGATTATCACCATCATCCATACCCGATACCAGTTATCCACATGCAGCTCTATAAAGTCTGTCATGGAGGCAACGTACATGCAAAATTATAGTGAAAGCATTGATATGAAATATAGCAAGATGTCTACAGGATATAAGAGGAAGTGAAACATGATTTTTCAGAAAGAGGTGAAAGTCTAACCAGGCCAAAATAATTCATATACCAGAACTACTGAAAAAGGTGACAGAAGTTGGAAAAGGTGTTAGAGCTCACAAGACATATCACTAGGAGCATGGACCACAACCTACAAGTGAACGGGATGCGGTGGAAGAGGCATATGTAACAGAGACTTCATGGTATTATTTTAGTCATGCTATTGGAAAGAGACAACAATATGACATGAACTGGAAAGCACCTATATAACACATGAAACTATGTCAGAATATTTGCTCATCTATGTCTAGGTTTTCTGTCCGGAAGAGGACAGTGATGGCACTAACCTGGTGTGGCCTCCCCAGATGATCCTGGTGACTCTGCTGCTAGGACAGCTCGGAGGTCCTGTCAGCGTGGCACCCTCTGTGGCAGCTCCTCCTCCACACCCTGGTCAGGGCCCTCTGCTCCCAGCTCGCTGCCCCCCGGGGTGGCACAGACCATCCCGCCCCCCATGATGTGGTCCAAGGCATCAAAATAGGGGCAGGTGTCTGCCCCTGTTGAGGAGCTTCCTTGAGTGGCCCTGGTGTACGCCTGCTGGCTGCTCTCGGGTGTGCATGTGGCCTTTGGTGGCCATGGTGGCAGCTATGCGGCCATACACGGTGGTATTTTTCCGTCTAGTGCGGAGATCATGGATATTGGAGGCCTCCCCCCAAACCTCAATGAGGTCCATGATCTCCACATTAGTCCAGGAGGGTGCCTGCCGTCTCTGGCTCCTGGCTGGCTCCTGGGAGCTGGGGGACTGGGCGGGGGACTGCTGGCTGGCTCTGGCTCATTGTGCGGGCACTGGGTCAGGGGCAGCGACTGCTGGGAGGCCTGGCTCTGGCACATGCACTGTGGCCAGAGTCTGCCCCTTTAAGGGCTCTGGGGCTGGGGGAGAAGAGAGGAGTTTTCCTGGTTTGGCCCAGAGTGGTCACCAGGGGAAACTGGGAAGGACTGGAGGTCCCCTATTTCAAAATAAGCGTCTACACAGCTCTTATTTGGAATTAGCTATTTTGAATTTGGTGTTATTCCTCACAGAATGATGTTTAACTAATTTGAATTAAGCCCCCCGCTATTTTGATTTTATTTTGAAATAATGGTTTGTCTGTATAGACGCTATTAAAGTTAATTCAAAATAACGGCTGTTATT